GTTTTTCTAAGTTAATTTTTAGCTGAAATATTATTTTAAAATAATTTTTTTTGTTGCCAAAATGACCTTAAAACAATTTTATACATGTATTCTAATCTAAGTGACACTAAATATCATGGGAAATTATCCATTTATACGTGACTTTTTAAAATCACGGTTCCGAACGTAGTTGGATACTTTAAGACAGTGCTTCCCAAGCTTTCCAATATACAATCAGAATTTCCATCGCGCCCCTCACCCCTTCATACATTAGCAATGTATTGAATTCAAAAATACTATATTTTAACGCTAAAGCTACAATACGACCTTATCCTCTTAAATGCCACCGGCTTATATAAACGTTTGCTTAGACAAAGCGTTAATTTCCTGGGGCGTATATTTCCGGAACTTGATCTTTTCTGTGCATTGCATCCATAAAATTGTTCCCAAGGCTTTGGACTACAATAATAGGACTCTGATAGTGCTTGCGACGGATTTACTTATTTCAGGGGATTTGCTTATGCTTTCCGCACTACATCCAATACGAGTGCTTACGTGGGAAGTGATGGTATTGGGGAGTGAATCGCGTAATATTTAATTGACAGTTAAGGCATTAATTAAACCGTACAAGTTATCAAGATAAGCGTTAATATTTGTATGCAATTTTATACATGGTAAGCGTCACACATCCAGTATAGTGGTTAGTGACGCTGACTGCTGTGCCGTTGGGAGTGGGTTCGAATCCCGGAGAAGACATGGATGTTTATAAATGTATAGTGCCTTCGCGGCATGGGGGTACTTTAAATAGCCGTCGAGCCGTAAATCCTCTCGTGAGATTGGTGGGAGGCCCCTGTCCACCCCCAAGGTGTTCTCCCTCTAAATTGGAGTGAAACCGAGCTAAATCGTTCTGTCACCTGTATGCTGCTCAAAGGTACGGCTAACGACAGGCGTCACTTAGCCCTTTGCCGTGATGAATTTCGTGGGCCTTTATCTGGCCTTTGCCGATCAGGTGGCATTAGTAACATCAACAAGAATATATGATAAGCCCACGGGGTCATTGGTAATTATTAAACTTGTTCTTAAATTGGTATTGTTAAATTAATTATAAAATACATTGGATACAGTGCAGTAAGTATATTATAGCAGTGTAAATGTGTATTTTATTTTTTACTATGTCATAATGTATTTTGTGTTTGTTTACTTTCAGTAAATTAATAATTTTTTTGCATAATCTTTTGTTTTCAACTTTTCAATATGCTTGCACCCCCCTCGTAGAGTTATTTCGTCCCCTTAGGGGGCGCGCCCCACAGTTTGACAAACGCTGAGGTAACATATTTCTAAATTATTGTATATTTAAAGTAAACAGTATATAATTACTAAAATATTTTTAATTGAGTATTTATATGAACAAAAAAAATTTGTTATGTTATCAGTAGCTATATGTTAATAAATATTCTATTCCAGCTGATTGATGGATTTAAATCGATGAACAATACTTCTAATATAATGATGTTTGGAAGTAATTTTTCTTAAAGCGTCTTTACTCAGGTTGCAAAATTGAATTTGTGAATATTTATTAATTATATTTATATTACTCGTAATTTTTTAAATGATTATGCTATCGATAAAATGACACTTTTATACATTTATTATGATGGACATAGTTTTCTCTCTTGTACATAACACCAGAGAGCTCAATATTATTTCAATAACACTTCATTGATTATGTTCCATACTGAAAATATTGATGTACTTCTATAAATTTCATTCATGTCCAGAGCTCTCCTTCAACATGTCAGCTAGGTCTTGTGAATGTCACAAACCTCTTTTCCTTCTTGAAATCATAATTATTTCTAACTTAGTATGCACATGATTGACTGCAAATGAGCAGATCGAAGATTTTTGACTAGCTCAAAATTCATCATTAGTTATATTTTGGTCTTAAAAAGGTTTAAAGCAAAAAGGGTCATTATTAAGGTTCGTTTTTCAGAAAAAGTAGTTCAATTTATCATCGAGGAACTTTTGACTCGTGTTAATTGTCATCTCGAACGTCATATGTGTTACACTTGCGTGACCCGGCGTTTTTATATTTTTTTCTCTTGAGGAAATTAGGCTTCTGCATCGAAATATGATTTATTAACGCTGCGTGTCACTTATACTTTATCCAATCTATCTGAAGTAAAATGGTGACTGCGATAAAGTTTCGTATATCAATTAAACAGAAAAAAAACTTCAAAAATCGGTTTTCATTAATGCATTTCCAGATCAATGGGCCTGCACCAAGTTCTTATGAGTAGCTACTTTTAGTTTTCGTTCGAAGTATTGCTGTAGAATAAATGACCATGAATTCCAAATGGCTACCTTAAAAATGCTCTAGTAATTGCTTTTTGTTAGAAGTGTGTTTCTATATTAGTAGAAGTTCAAAGCGTATTACTTTTATTCGAATTGCTTACTATTGTAAAAGTAATTTTCTTAAGCATATTTTTTTTCTGTTCAGGAACTAATAATTAAATACAAGCGTTTTAACTGACATTCTATTTTTAAACATTTATTTGTATAAATCACCAAGTCAGTCACTTTGTACACACTCTCTTTGAGAAAAAAAAGTTGTTGAATTGCGCGCACACACACACGCATTCTGATCTTATCTCTAAAGTATTTTCAATATTCAAACACTTATAAAGATATCATGCCACGTGGGTGGCGTAGTTGGTTTGACGCTGGCCTTGTACGCCTAAGGTTGCGGGTTCGACCCCGGCCCACCCGTTGGTGTGGTAGTTAGGAGAGGGGATGCCAGTTCAGGTGTCGTCCACGTCACTTGACCATGGTTCAAAATTACGTTGTCCGTCGCCAAAAGCCCTCGTGTAGCTGAACAGTGCGACGTTAATATTCACTCACTCACTCGACCCCGACCCAAGTCGATGGATTTCCTTGATGTTGAAAACCGACAGCGTCCATGTCGTATGATTATGTGAAATGTAAAAGACTTTTGAGTGTCTGTTTGGCTTAGGTACTCTCAGCAAAATTAAATTCGTATGTCCGATTTCACATCGTCAGAGCTCAGGTGCCTCCCTCAGGGGAGGAAACTGGGTATCAAAATTACCTGCGGCGATTAATAGTCCATCTATATGGTGCCACACTAAAAGAGATTCCAGCTTCCGGGAATATGCTAGGTCTGCAATAGTAAGAAACCAATCCACAGCCCATTAAAAGTTTAAAAAAAGCTATTCTCAATCCAAAATTTTGTTATTTTGTGTGTTATAGTTTTTGTATACTAAACATAATAAAGCAGTTTTGATTGAAGAAAAAAATTTCATTTTCCAGAAGTTTAAGTGCTTTTTTCAATCCAAAATATGAATGTGTGAGTCAAATGAGAAACAGAGGATTTAGCAATTACTCAGCCATTACTATTTAAAGAAGTCTTGGCTGACTTTTATAATTTTGAAATTTTTTAAAATTCTTTTAATAACTGAAATTACAGACTTATGAGTTTAAAAATTTTTGCCTACAATATATATATATATATATATATATATATATATATATATATATATATATTGCTAAATAAAAATACTTAATTAAACAGAGGAATAGTAATTTCTAAAATAGCAAAACGAATGTGTTCTTTGAAATCACATTCTCATTCTTAGATAATTCTTATCTCAGTTTTTGATTTATCAATAATATGCGTGGACTACATATTTCAGCAAGACAATGCTATCATTTTAGAGAATTGCTTCTCAAACTTTCTGTACTTACCGACCCAATTTTCAATCTTATTTCTTATCGTCCTCCCACCCTCCATACAATAATTATGTATTGAATTCAATAATAATACACTTTGACGTAAAGCTGCAATACAACTTTAATTATAAATTGCACAAATGATTAAGATAAGTGTTAAATTTTGCATAGAATTTTTTGACATGCCCATAGGGTTGCTGGGAATTATTCAACTGGTTCTTAACTTTGTACTGTTAAATTAACTATGAAATACATGGAGCAGTACTGATACATTTATAAGTGTATTCTACCAGTTTAAATGTGTATTTTGTTTTTTATTATGTCAAACCGTATTTTGTTTTGTTTCCATTCAGTAAGTAAATAATTTTTTAAAGTAATCTTTTGTTTTCGACTTTTCAATATTTTCTTGTCAAGTTTTCATGCCCCCTAGGGGAACACACCCCTTTGTTTGAGAAACGCTGTTCTAGAGAATTGCTTTAACAATTCTCCTCTAAATTCTAATGAATGCAGTTGAGAATACCCATTAAAATTCCTCAAAATGTATTTCGAAAAAATATTTGAATCACAAGGCAAATGAAAGCAGAAAGGAAATATTTCCATACCATTAAGAAGTGTGTGAAAAAAATGACTTGATGTTAATAATAAAATGGGCATCTAAAAGTCTTTTAAAATTTCGTTTGATTCTGTTGATCGTTAAAACACATTATACTGATGAAATGATCAATATCAATCATAAGAAAAGTATTGATTTTTGGACGAATTTGTATTACATTGAAACGGATGATAATCGCACTGTATCAAGAAAACTGCGGTTAAAATTTGTTATGTAGCAAAATGCTGTTTTTGGTCTGCCGAAAATGATATATAGTTGTTATGAGTGAAAAAATTAGTCTTTTGACCATGTACCTCCTCCCTTTATTTATCATTCCCCAACATGATGGGCATTATTATGGTAATACAAAAAGACTTGGTAATTTATGTTTAATGTTTAATAATTTATGTATGCCAATTATGTTTTCTTTTTCAATTCATACTGTGTTAGTTCACACTCTCCCTTATATATGTATCTTGTTCAAATTTTCAATCGTTAATAAAATACTTTTTATTCATCTACTCAAGTTCAAATACATTTTTTATACTTGTAGTAGATAACACTTGATGTTAACACAGTTTTTTCAAATGTTAATTCATTAATTTTATTTAATTAATGAATAAATAGTAACACAAACAAAAATAATAGCTCAACACCATATATAAAAAGGAAAACCGTTCGTTGTGTCCCTGTAACGCAATGGATAGCGCATTGGACTTTTAATCCAAAGGTTGTGGGTTCGAATCCTACCTGGGAGGGCCCAATTTCTGAGAACGTGATTTATGATTGGATAAATAGTAACAAACAAAATTAATAGTCCAACATCATATATAGAAAGGAAAAGTGAGAATTGCAAGGAAAATCGTTTTCTATTTTACCACTTAATATTGTGATTCCGTCATATGTATATACATATTTATATTAATTGTAATTATTTAATAAAAAAGTAACTAAAATAAAAATTTTCTTTGTTGACCTAAGTAGGAACTGATTTAATTTTTTTAGTTTTTTTATATTACTTGTTTCGTTTCAAAACAGTCTTGTTAAACAGTTTATTGGAATGATATGATTAATTAAGCGACAAATTTTAAATCTAAATATAATTAAATAAGTATTTTAAAATTCTATATTCTTTTTAATGTATATTTGTGTGTTTGATGTGTATATAATGACAGAGTTTTTAATATTTAGTCCGTTCGATTTGACTTAATGATGACCAAGCGATGGATAGATGAAAGACTTCTTTTCCCTATCCTTTCTGATGAAGATAAAGTCGTTCTTGATTTAGAATGGAGGAAACGTATTTGGATGCCAGATATCTTTTTTGAGAATTCGATTGAAGGCCACGTTCAAGACATGATCATCCCTAATATGTATGTTTGGTTGTTTAAGAATAAAACTATTCAATTCACGGCAAGGTAAGTAAGGCTTTCGATTTCTGAAATTTTGTTAAATATTTGTGTTGAGCTAAGTTCATATTTAGTCTTGAAATTCGAGATTTAAATACTGCACGCAGCGGAACTTTAAATTTAATGTAAAAAGTAATTTAATCCACTTCTTATAAACTGCATTTGACTGAAGAGAGAAAAATATTTTAAGGTATCCGACTACGTTCAGAACTATGATTTTGCAAAAGCGTATGAATGGACAGTGTTTATGATATTTAGTGCCACTTAATTAGAAAATGTATATAAAATGGTTTTAAGAATATTATTACAAAAAAATTATTTAAGTACAATATTTTGACAAAAAATGAACATAGAATGACCCATTTTCAAAATATTCTCCTTTTGTGAAAAATGCTTCTATTATGATAATATTTTGCCTGTATATAGCCCAGACCTCTGTACAGAAGCTCAACTAGAATTTTTGAAATATATAACTTAGAAGTGGGTTTATCCATGTTTTACGACAACAGAGGGGAGAAATTTTAAGAAAAAAAACGCCGATAATTGTTTCAACTGGTGGTAACTCTGAAAATATTGTGAATTTTTCAAAAATCCTAGTTCAGACTCTCTGGAGAAGTCTTTACTTTATATAAGCGAAATATTATTATTTTAGAAGCATTTTTTATAAAAGGAGAACATTTTGAAAAAAGATTATTTTAAGTTAAGTTTTTGCCAAAATATTGTATTTAAATAATTTTTTTTCAAATATCCTTAAAACACAATTTTATACATGTATTCTAATCTCAGTGACATTAAATATCATGAAAATTATCAATGTATGTGCTTTTTTATAATCACGGTTCCGACGTAATCGGATACCTTAATTTTATTGTCAGGTTATTTGAGATGCTTCACATTTAATTTAAATGAAGTAAAATATAAACACACACATTTGGGTTTTAATGTGTAAAGAAAAAAAGAGTTTTTTACATCAATAACTTGCTTAAATTAATAGTTATGGAAGTAATATTTTTAAAATGAATTATCTGTATGTTTATGAACCTGTTAATGCGAAAAAATACCATCTTAAAATATAAATAATTCTGTATGAGCAATTAATAATCAATAACTATTAATAATCAATTATTTTAAAGTCATGTTCTTACCTTTAGGTACATTTTGCATTAAATCCACTGCATATATAGCTTTAAAATTTTGCTGAGTGCTTATAAACATAATAGTCCATATATAATAAATGAAATAAAATTAAAAAAAATATATTTATAAAAGCTTTTTAAAAAGTTTTAAATTTTATGCAAAAATTGTATTATATCAAAAATTTGTGAATTTTATAATATACAAAATATCAACACTGTAGGTAAAGTAGATTTTCAGAAAAGTGTACCGGAATCACCAAAAATGGCACTTTGAGAAAATTGCGAACGAAGATATTTTCTTCTGTGATTAAAAAATAATATTTTTTAGTGCAATGTAAAATTATACCATAATTAATTGGATTATTCTGCATTCCTTTTCAGTTTTTAATATGTAAATTTTAAATTCTAGCTTATTTAGACATCTTTTTAATTACTCTACCCCTACTTCATCAACACGTGTCATCAATGATTAATAACATCTTCCATTTAAAAAACAATGTTTTATACCTGTAATTTTTAGTACTTTTACTTCTTTTTGAACATCATAAGTATAGGATATTACAGCATTCCTTACATATATTTTAGCTATTGTTATAAAAGTACATAAAAGAAGTGTCTTTGATGATTTTAAAAAGTTCATTTGATATGTAGTTTAAATAGGACCCCGTTTTTTAAAATTCATAACAAAAGAAGCCCTGTTTTTGTAATCATACATATGAATATTTATTTTAAAGTAAAAACAACAATTATAAACATAAAGAATTATTCACGAGAGAGAGAGAGAGAGAGAATATTTAAACTTTAACAATAAGCAGTTATAGGAATAACAAAATGCCTCTCCAACAAGCTATGTGGTTAATTTAGGATAATCCTCAAGATTAACTTTGTATTTATTTACTTGATTTATATTTTAAGAACTACACTGAATATTAATAAATGCAAAACTAGACATAACCAAGATTTTAAAAAACAAAATTTATTGTATGATTTTGTAATTATTCATTTAAATTTTCCTTAATTTTTGCATAAAAATGTATAACTCAAAAAGTTTGAACGCATAATACAGAAAAATTGCATTCCTTATATAGGTAAAATAAGTGTTTTATAAATACATATTATATACAAAACAGATTTTGTGAAGAAAGTGTACCTGAATATATTTACATCACATTTGCTTACAATTTTAAAAAATTCAATTTTCTAGAGTTCTATTTATTTAATTCTCATAAATAATGCCCCTATGGATGCAGTAAAGTTTCCTATATTTTTTAAAGTAACATAAAAAAATGCAAAATTTGAAACATTGTAACGTCTTAGTTATCTTAACCACACCGCAAGAGTTTTAAAAAATGTTAAAATCAGCATACAGGACATGTGTAAAAGCATCATTAAGAGTTCATTATAATGAAATTGGTCTTCAAATGCATCGCTGTGATAATACGAGAAAGTTCATAGAAGAAATAAGACTCTATATCGAACCAGGTGATTCAGTTGTTAACACGCCTTTATACCAAACGTTTAGTTTCATTCCTAAATATTAATTCTACTCTATTAAGTTTACTTACTAATTTACACCACTTTAAGGTATCTGACTACTTGAGACAACTTTTTTTTAAGAAATGGAGATATGGGGATTTTTTGTGCTTTTTAGATTTATTTAGCACATTTTAAGAAAAATATGCTAAAATTAAGAAGAGAAAAATAAATTATTATTGCTAAAGTGGGAATAAATTGATTAAAAATTTAAAAAAAATTACATAAAGGGACCTATTATGTACAAAAAGTTTACGAACAAATTTTCAATTTTGATGTGTTGCTTTGCTATGCATTTTTAAAATGACCTTAACGGTAAGAGATATTTTAATTTTTACATAAACTAGAGCACTTTATCTTAGTTATGTGAAATTGCTTAAAAAAGCAGTGATTATATTCACATAAGGGACTGTAAATTTTGTAATAAAACAGTGATTGATAAATCTGAAGGTTAAAACATTTATACTATTATACAGAACATACACAAAAAATGTATGTTAATTATTCTTAAAACTTTTTGAGCAATCACTGTCTCTGTTTCAGCATTTTCAAACAAAAAAAGCAATTCGAGTAAAACACATTTGAAAATATGACATCTTGCTTAAAGTAGTGGCGTCTGCTTTCACTAAATTGCGCAGCCTTATTAGGTAAAAAAAAAAGAAGAAAAGGCCTTCACTAAAACACTTCACTTGTAGTTTTTGTTCTAGTGAATCGAAAAGAATAAACTTCGTATTTTATACAGCTAATAAGATGACCTATAAAATAAAACCATAAAAAAATTTGTCAATTTTTGGCAAAAGTCACAAATTTAGGATAGTCGGATACCTTAAAAGTAAATGTTAAATTACGTCTATAAGCAATAATTTTTCCATTAAATGTTTCTTAATCATATCGACTTAATATCAAATACCCAATCATATATGCTAGTATTTAATTATTCCTTTAAGTTTTCGGAAGTAACAAGACATTTAAACATGCTCCTATGTGTGCTTGAGAAACCAATTTCTAGCTGTATCGTGAGGTTTAGACTTGCATGCTTTCTATGAAGGAGTTTTTTTAATGCGATTCCTAGCTGAGTACAGATGATATAAGTAGTCCATTGTGTAGGTAGACCACTGAGAAGGCTATTGATCAAACTACATATATACAATGCTGGCCACCGTAAATGCAACACCCTGAAGGAAGCATGCAAATAACATGAAATTTACAACATGCATTAGCGGAGGTGAGATATGCAAATGATTAGAATTTCAGCGCAGACACAAATCACACGTGCCTGTGGCGCCACCTCAAAGCGCTATTTAAGGCTTGGAGATTTCGACGATTTCAAGTTCAGCAATTGTGTTTTTCTTGTGGTTTTTCAAAAAACGATCAGTTATGTCTCGTAGAAAACAGCGATCAGCTTTTGATCAAGTATCCGACTTCGACAGAGGAAGGATAGTGGCCTACTGAGATTGTGGATTATCTTTCAGGGAAATCGGTAGTCGTGTTGGACGAAACCAAACAACTGTAATGTGGATATGTAAGCGTAGGATGCAGGAGGGTACGACGGACCGACGTGCTCGATCGCATCCACCTCAGTGCACCACTTCATGTGAGGACAGGCAAATTGTGCGCATGGCAGGGACGGATCGCTCAGTCATATCACGAACCATATCACAGCACATTGAGTCTGTAACGCATCA